TGAGGATTATTTGAATTTTAATTTACAATCGAGATTTAAGTTTTAACTATTAATTATTTTTTACGTTAGATTCTTTATTTTTAATTATCGTTAATTTTATATGATTTTAAATTGTAGAATATATATTTATACGAGAAATCATTATATAAGTATTGAAATTGTGAATTTAAGTCTCCTATGGAAGCGCTTTTATTAAAATATCGAATTGTATTATTAAATTTATTAAAGTATTAATTACATTATTAAGAATGTTTAAAATATTACGTCATTATTAAATTATATATATTTTTTGAAAAATTAAAATTGGGAAAGCAAAAGCCGATGATCATCCACCGTCGAAACAAGATCATGCTCTCCGCAACTGCCACGTCACGGACCTCCCATAACCACCCACACAGTAGCATTACCCTACTTTATTTATTTAAAATTAATTATTTAAAATTTGAATATAATGACGTATTTTCTGCGTCCTCATTGGAATCTTTTACTCTAAACGACCGTTGATTTTTCAACTTTCCCATTTTACCCCTTCTTGTGATGTGCGCCTCTGCCACTCACGGGTGAGAACCTCTGTAGATGTGGGGGTGGTGGACGTATACGTGTACGGTCGATGATGCGACCGCACGAGTGGCCTGATAGCGCGCCCGTACTGTTTATCGTTTACCCCGCACCCCCCCTAATAAGTGACCGGCGGGTGATGTTAGATTCGTCTGATTAACGACGTTATGACGGAATGCAATTCTCCGTTTCCCTCGGTTATCCCAACGAGAAGCTTCTCAGTGGGATGAAATTTTTATTTCCCCTCTCTCTCGCAAGCAAAATGACAATCGTACCCTTTAAATTATTTTTAATTATCCGATTAGCCAATATTATTTTAGATGGCAATTTTTTTAATTCAATTTTAAATTAAAAAAATAATTAATTATTCGAATTATAATTAAAATAAAAATTTTAGCTTTAACCCGATACAAATAATAAAATTAATTTTCAACGTGATAAAATAAATCAAACAAAAAATAAATAAAAAAATTCGACCCAATCAAAATTAAACTCGAATCAATATTTATATTTATATTATTTATTAATATAATATATAATATATAACAGTCAGGTTAACAAAATATAAATATTAAATAATTATTTAAAATCGAGAGCTAACAATACAAGTCATACGTAGAAAAATTGAGATATAATTAATTTATCATTAATTACACGATAAATCTAAATTATTATTTTTTTCGTACACTAAATTATATATATATATAAATTTATCTTTTTTCTAATAATTTTTTTAATTTTTAATTCTTAACAAATAATTATATACAAATTTTTCTCAAAAGTGAATAATGTATATATATATATATAGGGGGTCAACTATGGAATATGATACTTTATTTTTTCAATATTTTTTTAACATATGGTTGAGAATTTGTATAAACTATTATTATGCACCAATTAAATATTATATATGTATATATTTAAAAAAAAAAACTAGATTGGTATAAATCCATTAATTAAGATTTTATTCCCAAGGTTTAAAAAAAAATAAATTCTGCCTGACATTTTGTTTGGAATATATTTTATATATTAATTTAAAAGCATAAACATGTTTAATTATAATTAATTAATTGTTAATTAACAGAATCTTTGTCCGTAAAACAACACAGAGAGAGACGACCGTCCGTCGTGGATGAGACGCCACGGTGCAAAACGATTCGTTTTGTCATGTCTCCACTCTCAAAATTACTCAATTTATTTATTAATAAAAATAAAAATTTCATTTCGGGACCCACAACATATTAATTTAATATTTAATTATAAAATTACAGGGATCAAATAAAATTAAATTTTTATAAAAAAAAAATTATAGTAATTAAGTTTTATAAATTGGATAATATATATTTTTTATTAAAAAATAAAATAAAATAATCATTGGATTCTCTTAATTAAATAATTTTTTTTTTGAAAAAAAATTATATATCCATCCCATCATTAATTTTTTTAAATTAAAAAAAAAAAGACCCCAATTGAAAGAGTGTTAATATCATAGAAGAAGGTAATAACTATATATGTATGTGTGTGTGTGTGTGTGTATATATATATATATATAGCATTTGCATATAAATTATGTTCAATGGTACAATAATAAAAAAAGAAATTATTTTTAGCCTTTAAACATTGAATATTTTTTATATTAATAATAAATGTATTCCCAAAAGTAAGAAAATTTGGAGGGGCAAATATGGAAATTCACTAAGTTGTCATATCAAAATGGCCTCTTCCCAAAACGACAAACAAAGCTCATGTGGGAACTATGGAAATGGGAATTGTCCCAATTCCCCTCCCCCCACACCCACTAATTTAGTGCACAACTTTCTATCTTTTCCTTGAAATTTATTTTATCCTATACTTTCTTTAGCCCTCATGCGAGGAAATTGAAAAGATAAAGCTTGAGAAGAATATATATATATATAATATGTAATGTATTTCAAACAAAGAAAGAGATTAGTGAGAGATGAGGTGGGTTAGGGATGAATCCACCCTTCTTAATGAGAGGAAAAGAGGTGGGAAAATGACAGACAAAGCAAGAGGGGAAAAAAAAAATTAATTTACAGAGAGAGAGAAACAAAAGTGGTAAGTTCTTTTTGTAATTTTTTTTAAATCGGAGGAAGAAAGCAGAGAGAGAAAGTGGCAGGAAAGGGAGGAGTGTCATTAGAGAGAGAGAGAGTGGGGGGTTTTATTGGAGTTTTGCGGGAACAAAACTAGACCCACTTCTCAAAAGCTTTGGGCTAATAAACACCCACATTGTGGTTTGTGGGAGGTAGAGAGAGAGAGAGAGAGAGAGAGAGAGAGAGAGAGAGAGAGAGATTGGGAGCTCTTTTTGAGTGTTGGGTTTGTGGCTATGGTGGACGATATTGTTTTCAATTCTTAATATCCGCCATTGGGGTGCTCAGGATTTAAGGCAAAGACTTTTGCTTTAGCTTCTTTGGTGTTTGTATCCTTCTGTGTTTTTTTTTTTTTGGAAAAAATGGGCGTTTCGAGTTTCACCAGAGGGTTGGTGGTAAGTTTTTGGCTATGGGGTCTGATCTCTCTCTCCTGTGCCGCGAGGTTAAGTGTAGAGAAGCAGAAATTGAGGTGAAAAAGCACTTGAACCGCTTGAACAAACCGGCTGTTCAGAGCATTGAGGTTTCTCCTCTCTTCCTACTTTACTTCCTTTCTCCTCTTCCTAGAAAGTTACTCTTTTTTCTTCTGGTTTTTCAAATGCCTGGGTTTTTTGGTCTGTTTGGTTGCTGGGAAAGCGAGAGAAAATTGTGTATCGTTCTCTTTCGTTTTCTGTTCTACTATAGCTGATGTCTCCAACATTTGAAAAAAAAAAATGAAGGAAATAATCTTAAAGCTTTGCTTTTTTGGGTTCTACTTTTGCCTTCAGAATGTTGGATTTGGGCTAACGAGATCTTTGATGTTTTGGTTTGAGTAGTTTTCCTTGATTTTCTCAGCAAACAAACGGAGCTTCAATGCAAAAGGGCTTTTCTATTTCCTGTAAAAATATAGGTCGTGTGAAGTAATCATTTTGGTTATTCTCCTTTTCTCTCACCTTCTCTCTCATGTTTTATTTTTTGCAGATTATAAAACTAAAAAAATTATTATCATCATATATTGAAAAAAGATGTAATAATGAGAGGTCAAATTTGTGTTGTTGTAATAACATTTAAGCATTTCCATCGTTTTGACTGTTTAAGAACACTCTAGCTTAACTATGAATGAAATTTCTTGGTTTGTTCAAGTGACTGGTGAGGAATATAAATAAAGTTAACTCCTTTGATTCCTGATGCTTAAACAGAGCCCGGATGGTGATATTATAGACTGTGTTCATATCTCAAAGCAGCCAGCTTTTGATCATCCTTACCTTAAAGACCACAAAATTCAGGTTAAATGGATTTCTACTTCTAAAAGTAAATGGATTTCTACTTGTTGGTATTGATTTTCTTTTCTGGGTTTTTGTTATTGGATTTATCAGATGAAGCCTAGTTTCCACCCAGAAGGGCTGTTTGATGAGAACAAAGTGTCTGAAAAATCCGAAGAGAGATCAAGTCCCATCACTCAGCTGTGGCATCAAAATGGTAAATGTCCTGATGGAACTATCCCTGTGAGGAGGACAAAAGAGGATGATGTGTTGAGAGCAAGCTCTGTCAAAAGATATGGCAGGAAGAAGCACAGAACCATCCCTCAGCCCAGGTCTGCAGACCCTGATCTCATCAATGAAAGTGGTCATCAGGTAAAATTTTCTTTTTCCTTTTCTTTTCTGATAAACAGAAAAGGGTTCTTTACTTCATGTGTGATAAATCTATTGATATCTTATGTAGCAGATTTGTTCTAAACACACTGTTTGTTTTCTTTTCCTTGGGTTAATTCTTTGGGATGATTAGCATGCAATAGCTTATGTGGAAGGAGACAAGTATTATGGAGCAAAGGCAACGATAAATGTATGGGAGCCTAAAATACAGCAGGCTAATGAATTCAGCTTGTCTCAGCTATGGATTCTGGGAGGTTCCTTTGGCCAGGATCTTAACAGTATTGAAGCTGGTTGGCAGGTATACCATATTAAATCATTGAAAGTTCATTTTTTTTAAAACAAATAATTGATTTGAGATCAGACACAGAATGACTCAGTCTCAATTTTTTAAGTGTCAAGTTGAGGTTCTAATTGTTGGATGTGCATGAAACAGGTCAGCCCAGATCTGTATGGTGATAACAACACAAGGCTTTTCACTTACTGGACTGTAAGTCTCCATACCTCTTTTCCATGTTGGGTTTCTGTTATTTATCTCTTCAAATCTTTTTAATGAGCATGGTAATGGGTTTCCTCACTGTTCCTTCTCTGAACTTGTTTCAGAGTGATGCATATCAAGCCACAGGTTGTTACAATCTTCTTTGCTCAGGCTTCATTCAAATCAATAGCGAAATCGCAATGGGTGCAAGTATCTCCCCTGTATCTGCCTATCGAAATTCGCAATACGACATCAGTATTCTTGTATGGAAGGTAAAAAAACAAGGAGTCCCCACCTCAATAATATTGCACACTTATTTTTTTTTT